TAAATTGGAATCGGCTGGTATTTAACGCTACAATATAAACAAAGTGTAGTTGTAAGCCGAGAACCAGTAACTAATATAGGTTATTTTCAAATTTGGTAAGGCCTATTTGTTTGCCACGGTAACGTGTTACTAAAATCACGCGGACTCAATTAAAACATCTTCTTGTTTATATAGACAATGTCACTGATTCCTTCTGTTCGTTCACTATAACAAAACTAAAGTACCTACGGTGATGCATTTCTTTAAAAATTTTATAATAACGTTAACTTTGCTACGTCATTTTGGTCTCTGGTGGAGAGTTATCTCATTGGCAATCATACCACATCTTCTTATTTTTACAGTTTTCTGTAAGTTGTGAAAATCGTCTTCAGTTATCTATGAAATTATCAGCCATGACGTTACTGTTTCTTTCATATAAACCTATAGAGAGCCAAAGGGTGGCCCCATTTAGCTGTATGGATTGCAGCAGTATACCTTTGAAAAAACATTTGATTGAGAGACGAACTTACAACCATTTTATACATCCTTCGACGACCATGCGCCTAGCTGGTAAAGACAGAGGATCTATCCACTACACCAGTCCCAATCCTCAAATGAGAAAGTTTCGCTTGGGCAGTGTTTCCTTTGCTTGTCACGAAAGCTTTCTAATTAGTACTTGTCTATTACATACACAGTGTTTGACGCGGTCAGGAGCTTTAGTTACAATGTACTATGATTTCAATCCGCTGCAGGCATATGGATTTATAAATCAGAACTTTGGAATAAACCTTATATAGTTGAAGTTTAACTGCATTTGTATAACCATTTCTTTACTAAGCGTAATACGTCTAAACAATATTAAAGATAATCAATTGATTGATTGTTGCTTGCTTTACGTCCAGTGGAAAATATTTCATTCATATCAAGCAAATGAATGAAATTTTAAGAAACGAACAAAATTTAAGTTTTAGGAATCATGTTTAAAAAAAGATAGAATTCTTGTAATTATAAAATCTAATTTTTCTAATGAACTCATCGGGTTTCATATATTGTATAGTTCATATCATGGTGATATTCCAAAAAGCCAGCTAATAAGGAAATTATTTTATCTTGTAAAAATTCTGAAGTAACGACTGCTACAAAGTAGACCATCGCTAAATCACAAACATTAAGTGACACTAAAAATGGAGTAATTAATGTTAGTACAGTCATTATAATGCATATGCAAATACACTTGCTTATGTAAGTCCACTTCAAATCAAATCTATAGTTTAATTATGGAAGCCAAAAATGATTTAAATTCGTATTTAATTAATGGGAAATTTGTATAAATCGAAAGTGAAATCAATTTGCTATTCACTTCAAATAGAATGCTTAATGACGGTTTTGAATAACTTGTCGAACGAACATCATAGTCGAAAGGATCATTAACTACACAGCTTGTAAAAAACGTTATTGAATATTCCACGTAAATTTACCTTAACGTAAGTACTACAGAAGCAACTTCTCTGAATAATAAAATATTAAGTTCTATGGAGGGTAATGGGAAAAAGCCAGGCTTAATGTCAATGTAGGGCCTAAGAATACATGTAGTAGCAACCCTTGAAAGAAAGAATTAGCTACATTTAAGACGGTTCTGTATTTTTTTTAAAACTAAAGAAGAATATTCTGTGATTTTTTCACACTGGCAGTCGGACGTAGCCGGTGACAACGTATAAGGCAAACTTTCAATCTTTTTTTGTATTCCAAATTCCCTGTTATAAACCACATTAAATTCACTTTACTGGATCTAATCAACTGATGTTCTCGTCCGGTATATACATTTGCTACTGGTGCATTACATATGCGCTCGTTAACATTACATTTAAATTTGAGCGTAAGAATCATTACGTTTGCGAGCAGCTCTTTATTTTATTTGCGCCCATTCATTTTACACAGTTAAATGTAAAACATAACAGTTACTATTTATTTATTTATTCATTTATAATTTATTAACAAGTACCCCTACCGTTTTTTTAAGTCCCATTCTCACAAACGAGGAGGTGGAAGTGGGGTTTCAGGCAGGATAAGTCCGTTTTATTATGTATAACCACTAAGAATCAGACTCATGAGAATGTTAACAGTTACCATTTAGCATGATTTAGGATGACTGTTTAGCTAGCTATAAAACCAGGGTTAACCCACGTTGATCAGTTGTATCCTGCCTTTGCAATTCTTGACGGTGCATCGCCATGAAATATCCCCTGACTGTTCTGTCGTTACGGAAAGTAAGTCAATCGTACACTAAAGATTTTCCCCCGTTCTTTTTTTGTTAGAATTCATGAAAAATATAAATTTTAGATTACAAATTATAAAAATGTTCAAAATTAATAATTATCGACATTTTTATTATGAAGTATCTTTATATTTACCTGCGTTACATGTAAAACGAATGCGCGCAAACGTTAAAAACGGATTCTCCAAATGCGCGCAAATGTAATGTCACTGGGCGTCAAGCAAAAATTATTCGGTCAATCAATAACTTCATCAACGATAAAATTTAAGAAAATAGAATTACCTGACAACTCTTTGTACAATTTCCGAACGTATCATTGCGTGTCGCTTCCTACATAAAAAACTTTTAATTGATTTAGCAAAATATTTCTGTCTAAAAACAAAGAAAGCAATACTCGATATATCAATTGATATAGAAGAGGACAAATATGTTAGATGTGATATTTTTAGATTTAATTATTTTTTTTTATCTAATAGTACACTATTTTCTGATATCGTTATTTTATCCCCTTGGCAATCAGTACAACATTCAATTTGTTGCAAATACTAAAATGGTTCAAATGTCAATATAGCAATAAAAATCATATAAAAGAACAGTGTCCCATATTAACGTTATCAAAAACAGTTGATAAAGACGAGTTATTTATTTATCCCTTAACATTTAATTCTTATTTTGCCTCCAGTATTATAATTTTATCACGGACATTTAAAACTGAAGCAAACACAAAAATTCGATGGTCACGAACTGCAAGTGACTCTGAACGTCGAAATCAGTTTTTGAACGTCTAAATCAGTTTAAGAAAAGTCTTTAAATTCATCACCGATGACTAAACTCGCAACTTGACTTCTGTTACTCACAACTTTTGTAACTCGTAACTCGATACTCGACAATAAGAAACCCTTGTTTAAACACTTGTTACATGTATCTAGGATTTTCTTTCAAACAGTTTCAGAATTCAGAATACTAGTAAAACAAATCGTGAAAGTAGTAAGAACTCTCGTAATCTAATGTGTCAAATTCTTAAACTTTTACGACAGGGATATATATCTATCATTATTTTTTTGTCTTTAAGATTGTTGTTTTCTTGACGTAAACCCTACAACTCCTTTTGTCCAAACGCGAAAGTCTTTAAATTATTAATCATGAATTTAATTCACATATTTAAATAGGAAGTTCTTTTAATGGTGGATCAAATAGAATTTGTAGCCACATATTCATATAACAAAATGTTACGATGTAACAACGACATACATACCAAAAATGCAGTACATTTTCCACTCGGTCTAGTAGATTAATAATTTCTCAACATAATAACCTACATAACATGAAAGAGCCAAATTAATATAAAATGTTAACTATTCGAGTGAACCCGATCTTTATTAGAAGAGGAAGACCATTCTCTATAAATTAAATGTTTACAAGAAAGAGTTCTTGAGTAAATTAAGGGCCCTCGGTGCCCGAGTGGTCTAAGTTGTTTCGTCCACCAATAAAAACTGACCTCCACGAAATATCACAGTAGTGTTGAAAGTGGCGTTAAACAACAATCATCAATCTTGAGTAAATTCATTGCAGACGTCGACAATGATTGCATATCATGTAAGTTACATAGTAAGTAAATTATGCAAAACAGTAAAAGTTTCTTTGCCACTTGGCCAAATATGACCTATATCAATGAAATGTGACTCGCTTGTGTAACTAACGTTAGCATTTATGTTTTGTAGTTTCTTTTCTGGAATTTTATCGTTAAAATTACCATTTTATATTTAGTAAATATTGCTTTGTTTTGTATATTTATTCAGCCATGCGTTTTCTGAATAAGATCAATTGAAACTTTTCCTTGAGATCCTGTTGAAATTAAGCAAATTTACATAAGGACCTAACCCTTGACTATTATTTCAAGTTCCTATTGTATTTTTCTATTAGGAACATCAATACTACTCCTGATTTAGAACATGTTTTAATGTCGATTGTGGTATTTCGAATCGACTAAAAAACTAAAGATCAATTTTAAATCTCAGTAGAATTGTTGTATCTGCTACATTATTATTATGAATACAATATCTTTCAAAGACAGCCAATCTTCATAAAGCTGTCTCGCAAAATGACAAAGCTTATCATCTATTGAATGGTCAATTCCATAATGCTGTGTTGACATTTGATTTTTAGTACTTATATTTATATTATATATACATGTCACACATAAAGACCATATATGTTTTAACTATGGAGGTGACACGTTCTAATAGCAAGGTAAGCAAACGTCTTTTATTTTAGATTTAGACTTCTCTTGATTTCAAATATTTGAGTACTATGATGAGGTTACATGGTCGATTTTCAATCAGTTGCAGCATTTGCCAGTTGAATGATCAAGAAAAATACAAAAAAGCCAGATCAGTCGTCATCGTCCTACATATATTTGCTTAGCTTCAACTATGATTGAGTATCCGATTCTACCCGAAATTCTTAGCTGGTTTCCGCTTTCAAAGGAGTAAACGGGGAACGAGAAAAATTGATGATATTGAAATTGATTGAATAAACACAAATGCTTTCACATCTTAATTAATGAATTGACAGTCATGGAACTTCGTGGAAAAAACTTTGCACATCTTCACATGAGTGCAAATATGCATTAATGATTTTTTTAAAAAGTATTCGATGGGCCAAATTTTTACAGATGACATAATTAAAAATTCTAAGCTTTTTAAAGGAATCGTTAGGATTACATAATGATAATTGGTTTGTTCTAATGGAATTAAAATAGTTTGGAAATTCATAAAGTTATAAATTGCAAGTTTTATAAAATGAAACGTAGTCAAGTTTTTTTGGAGGACTACAAACGAAGTCAGAAAAGCAGATTTCTTATAACCAGAAAGGTAATTACAACTTTGGTGTGTTTATAATATTTCATATTATTGTATGTTTTTGCCTTTTCTTTTCGTTTTAGTTTTCCATATATTAATAATAATTAGCGTGTAGTGTTTAGGAAGACACTAACCATTAATCTTCTTGTTGTTGTTGTTTTTTGTTGTTTTTTTTTTGGGGGGGGGGGACATTTTGTTTTCGATTTTTTTTTTTACAATTGTAATCTAAAGCAATCTTTTTTTGTTCTTAACATACAGGAACAACATGTTTTTGTTTATCAATGGAGATTTCTTTTGGCTTATTTTCAGTAGTTAACCTTTTTATTACACGTCCCTTCTAAAACAATTTTTTTTTGAAGAAGAAATTTCAAATCAAACAATTTAGAAATAAATAGAAAATGTATCTATGGGTCACAGATGCCCCCGCTTGTAAATATGCATAAGTCAACCTCCACATACAAATGCAGGATTCACGTAGTTAAGGCCGTTTTGTGATTATAAGCATTGTGTATAAGTTTCATAACATTTGGTTGAGGCAAACTAAAGTTAGTTTAAACAATATTTATTCAGATAATTCATCACAAAAAACGATATGATACAATTGAAATGAATATTAAGGATTCAGAAACAAGCAAATTTGCTTTTACAAATCTGTCTCCTATATTTATCTTAACTAAAGTTAGAGAACGGAAAGAAAAATTCAGCAATTTTTATGTTTATAAAGGGCATAACTCATGAACGCTAAAAGTGACGCCACCCAATTTCGAAGTTGATCTGTCGTTTGTAGTAATAAGCATTGTGTATAAGTTTTATAACATTTGGTTGAGGCAAGTTAAAGTTAGAGAACGGATAACCAATTTTGGGGGACGTACGCGACGGACGGACGGACAAGGGTAACAATTAATGCCTCCTCCGCTACGGCGGGGGCCATAAAAAAAACATGCCTCCAAAAGATGGTTGGTCGGTGCTTAATCGAGTGCAATTAACTTTAAAAGGTATTATTACACAGGCATCATGAGAGTTTCGTGATGTATTAGACAGTTAGTGCAGGTACACTTTATAACGAAGCGCAATTGCAATAATAACTTTATGTTGAAATGTTTTCTGACTTGAGCAGCGTTCACACCGAGGCCTGAGCAAGTTTGAAGCAAGTTTAACTGAATTTTTGTACATTAATTATAAAGTATCAATGCGTTGATTTTGAATACACTTGAAGCTGTAAATTAACTTCTGAATATAAAATTGAACGAGTGGAAAACAATTGATTATTTTTCATTCTAAAGATGTAAACAATAAGACTTGTGTATACAATACATGTTTTACATGCCTATATCCTTTGATCTCCCGATAGAATACATGTAAAAATATGTTGGCACTCAAGGAATAGTGTCTGATTAAAATTAAGTGTAGTCAAAACAAACAGTAAGTATAACTTGTGCAGGTTAGCTTAGTCTTCCAATTAAAAATCAAAGTATTACTAATATTACTTTTTTCTGTTTGAAATGAATAAATATTTATTTTTCTTGTTGTTTAAAATGTAGAAATCTTTTTTTGTGGAAAGATTGATAAAAAAATAACGTTTAGCTCTTGTTGACAGCTCAGTGAAAGCATATTAATGATAAATATAGAATAAAGAGACCCCAAGGGTGACTGAAGAATAGAAATTTAGTAACTCTTGGACTTCTCACATGTATGACCGGCAGTAAAACCCTTGCCTAAGTGCGGTATCCGTTTGATTGGGCGGGAAGTATTAATTCGCAGCCACGTCTGGACAGAAGGGGACGTTGTAAACTCCCACGACTTGTGTAAAAACAATTATTTATTAATTTTTTGCTAGAATATCCATCATGTTGAGCATGAATGGTCACTTTACTTTTTTTTTTAAATAAGAGTTAATTTCGGTAATTTAAAAAAAAACATCTATAAATGCAGCTTATTTATTTTATTTGTTCCATTTTTTTTTACTTTTTAAGATTTCATACCATTTCTCTTATTATTATTCCCTTCCATTTGAATGTTGTTTTTTCTATTGAAAAAAGTATATTTTTAAGTTGCAAAATAACTTTTACCTTTAAAATACCTTTTTCCTAATAATTACATTTTGTTCTACAACAACACCCATTCACTTAAACAACATCTATTCAACTTATTTTGTTGGCATTCGAGAAGTAGATATTTTATAAAATGTAGGCATTCCAGGAAGATACCGTCCAGTGAACGCAGCCTCATATATCTATGCAATGTAGGTCTTGTAAACACGTATCTACGTCATACCAGTTATTTGGAAGGCTATAAACACGAAGCATATCCTGTCAGTTAACTGTGTATTATGTCATGTCAATAATAGTGATAGTGATGAAACACGTAGCTTAACATGTCAATTTTAGGCTGATATTAAATACGTAGCATGTAATGTCATGCCGGATTTGATGAAGTTCGTGTAGATCAATATTTAGGTTTTCTATTTGTGGCTGTGTTTGGATATACGTCAGAGGTGGCCTATGGTTATCCATGGGTACCTTTGGTTTGATATTCTATATATCAAAATATCAAACCATTGGTACCCAAAGATACCTATGGGTAACCATAGGCTGCCTTAGGCGTATATCCAAACACAGCCTGTGTTTATAGTGATAGCTATAATGTTTCTTATAAGATTTAGCTATAATGTTTCTTATAAGATTTAGCTATAATGTGTCTTTTCCGTTATAGCTATAATGTGTCTTTTCCGTTATAGCTATAATGTGTAATTTTCGTTATAGCTATAACGTGTTTTTAAGTTATAGCATTAGTGATGAAACACGTAGCATAATTTATTCTGTCAGTTAAATGGTGGAATTATATATCATGTAGCATTTCATGTAAGTTAAAAAGGAGGGTTATAAACGCGTAGCATGGCATGTCAATTATAACGATATTGATGAACAAAGTCAGCTAAAAGGCGGATTTTCAATCACGTAGCATAGCATGTCAGTTATAGTGATAGTAATAAAACACGTAGCATATTTTGTCAGTTAAATGGTGGGGTTTCAATCACGCAGCATGACATGTCAGGTAAAGCAATAATGATGAAACACGTAGCATATCCAGTAAGTTAAATGGCGTGTATTCAATCACGTAGAATGACATGTCAGTTAAAGCGATAGTGATGAAACACGTAGCATATCCAGTCAGTTAAATGGCGGGCTTTAAATCACGTAGCATGGTCGACATGTTAGTTATGGCGAAAGTGATGAAACACGTAGCATGTATAGTGTCAGTTAAATGGCGGGTTTTCAATCACGAAGCATGCCCTGTCAGTTAAAGGGATGGTTATAAACACGTAGCAGGGCATGTTAATTATAGCGATATGGATAAATAAATGAAACACGTAGCTTGTCTTTTAAATGAAAGGGATGGTAATGAAACAAGCTGAAAGACTTCTCTATCAGGAAAGATTACGAAAAATTTCGTATGTCCTATTAATAATAGGATATGGATAGGAAACACGTAGGAAGTCCTGTTTATTACAGGGAGAGTAACAAGCGTAGTATGTCCCATAAAATACGGGGAGGGTTTTGAAACACTTAGCGTGTCATGTCATGTAAAGGGGAGGGTTTGGAATTACGTATCATATCCTGTCAATTATAGGAAGTTTTCTTAAACGTGCAGTATGTCCAGTCAATTATAACGAGAGGGATTACACACGCAATAAGAGCTGTCAAGTAAAGGAGGAATTATTAAAATAGTAGCATATCCTGTCAACTTTATTGAGGATAAGGAAAGACTTTGTATCTCCTGTCGATTTAAGGGAGGTTTTATACAAAATACGTTCCAAATGTTGTCAATTGTTTAGACTAGGCCTTTATATTAGCATATTAATTTTCCATGAAAAGGTTTTTCTATGCAACTGTCATACAAGAGAGCAAGTTTAGCTAGCTATAAAACCAGGTTTAATCCACCATTTTCTACATAAGGAAATGCCTGTACCAAATCAGGAATATATTCGTTTGATATGCCTGAGCTTTTGATTTTGCCATTTGCTAAGGGACGTTCCGTTTTGAATTTTCTTTGTAGTTTCTAAAATTATCACAATAAATTGATCTTTGCCACCAAAATTATCAATGATTTACCGATTGATTGATAACTTAATGAGACTAAAACGCATCTTTAAGTTCAATTTATGTCAAAAACAAACTTTGTAATGTGTTTTTAATGTTTTTGATCTTTGATACGTCGAATAATAACTGTTTTAAGGTTTTAATCATGTTATATGCTGATCAATTATATGTTGATCAATTATACACAATCAATTATAATCAATAGTCGACTTACGATGTAGGGTCTTGAATGGGAGATCTGGTGTTCATATATACCGGTATAATTTTCATTTAGTACTATTCATCATTGTTAAAGCTCGTGTTTATTGATGGAGGAAACCAGTAGATAATTTGGGTAAATACGGCGGTCGAATCGATGTTTCAAATCATTTAGGGTCGCGGAATACTGAGAACCGCTTTTCAAAATCTACAATGTTGCTTACATGTATTACACATTATCATAACAAAATTCTGGTCAAGTTCGATTTTAACAATTTTATTTGATTGACTGAAAAAGGCGGACATGGATATGGTCCAGTGTCAGCCAAATTTCCAGCCATTCATCCCGGTCCTTTCGCAGAACCTACTCATAGGATTTACTGTTTACTTGATCTCATCTTGAATATTCGTGAATTATTTCCCATGTGTTGCAAACATCAAGTAATCAATCCTTATCGATGACGGCTTCTGATTTTTTTGGTCAAAATATATATGAGCAACAACTTTACTCAAAAAGATACTTTACACACACCATCATCTTTGTACAATTCATTTTGTAGCAAAACATCTTTAAGGGTAATGTTGTTGTTCATATCTATATAACAATGACCTGATTCTCACAATGAGGCTATACTGACAGCTTTTACTGTTATGCACTCAATGTAAGAAGTTTGAAGACCTAATGCCAGTATGTAAAACAAAATTCCTAAGTAT